TGATTGATGATTTACATCCAGGTTTTGTTAGGATTAAGTTATCTTGGGTCTTTTATGATCAACTTTTGGTCTATCCTTGCTACTTCAGGGATTTGCATCATTTTCTCACTATTTTGCTGTTCATTATGGTTTAGGGTTTAGAAAGCCAAAATTCCAGCAAGCTTCCACTGATTTGGTTTTAGTAAAATTCAGATTTTTGAACATTTGGAGAACTTATGATTCACGGTTTTCATGATTTTCGAATTTGAATATATTGTTTGGCTCAATGGTGGTAATGTTATCTCTGTTCGGTTCTTACAGCTGTTATGGATAACATGGACATCCAGACCTTTGACTTTCCTAGTCCTTGGGGCACCCGAAAACTGCCATGCCCATTTATAGTTTTCAACTTTTCATGCCTCTTCTTGTTCATGTTAAAGCAGTCTGAGAAGCCTGTTGAACCTTCCTGGAACTCATTCATTATGATTAGTTTTGTTGTGAATTTTTTTTTTTGGCCAATAATGTAGAAGAATAGTGGTTTTTTTTTTTTTTTTATAATTTTTTTGGAGATAGCAGTAGGTACTTTGTTCTCAATGCATTTGGTTTTATAGCTTGATAACGGATAAGCCCATTACATAACACTATCCTGGTAGTATGCATCATCAAATAGGGTTTACATTCCAATAATGTGCGGAAAGCTGGCTCGTTTGCAGCTTAGCTGAGAGTTTGATAACATTATGCTTGTAGAATGACAAGCGTGAAAGGGTGGTAAAAGCAAGTCGTGATATCACCATGAACAGCAAAAAGGTCATATTCCAGGTGCATAGGTAATAATCTTTATCAGATTTTTCTTATTTCCCTTTTCTTAGGATATTTTTAGTTGACATGTTCTCCTTTTTTTTTTTTTTTTCTCATTTAGTTGACATGTTCTAAATGTGCTGAAATGACAGAATCAGTAAAAGCAACAAAGAGCAGGTTCTAGAAAAAGCAGAAAAGGATTTAGCAGCAGTTACTAATCAATATATGTCACGACTGGTGAAAGAATTGCAGGGGACTGATTTCTGGAAGCTTAGGAGGGCATACTCTCCCGGGGTATATCTTGTGTCCTTATCCATTAATCAGAAGCATGCTACTCACTAATTTGGTTTTTTATGTTTGTAACTTTGCAGGTGCAAGAGTATGTTGAAGCTGTGACATTCTTCAAATTCTGCAAAACTGGGACACTCTTGAATCTTGATGAGATAAATGCTAGCTTGTTACCACTCAGTGATCCATCTTTGGAGCCTTTGCAAATTAATGTCCTTGATTATCTCTTGGGGGTAACTGCCTTATTTTATATTATTTATTTATATTTTCTCACTTAAATGAATGTTGACAAAGGCCTCCAGGGCAAGTACAGTGATCAAAAGTTTGTGATCATCATGCTCTTTATCTACTTGACTAGGTTTAATGTTTGATGGTCAAGTAATAAAGTCATACTAGAATCGAACTGAAATCTGTAAAATCTAAAATTATCTCTTCTATAACTCACTTGGTTGACATTTCAAAAGGCCGCATACATGTACATGCATGGTCATGTCTGTTAACTTTAATGTGTTGAGAAGGCAGCTGAAATTTCTTGTATAGCTTGCAGATTTGACAGGAGAACTTATGCGATTAGCAATTGGTCAAATATCTGAGGGTGAACTTGAATTGAGTAAGAGGATTTGCCAATTTGTGCGTGATATTTACAGGGAGCTTACTCTTGTTGTCCCACTTATGGACGATGCTCATGATATTAAGATGAAGATGGAGACGATGCTCCAAAGTGTTGTGAAAATAGAGAATGGTATTCTTATTTTGCTTGTCTTGTCCAAAATTATGTAGAGTAACTAAAGATTCAGATCATCTCATTTCTAACTTGAGTTTATTATACTAATCAGCTTGGCTTGCCTCAACTTTATTTAGGACATAAAAAATTTTAGTTCAGTTTCCTCATGATCTTTAAATTATACTATTTGGAAATAGTTTTATATGAGTAGGTGTGCACTTTGAAGCATTTGATTTTAAGAAGATAAATCAGTTTTTTATTTTTTAAATTAAGTACTTTTGGTTGCAAAAATTTTAGATTGTGATTTATCTTCACCCTGTCTTGAACTTTGTGTAATAGACTATATGTTTCTTCTGTTAATCTCTTATTTGAGTTGTGTTGTAGCTTGTTTTAGCGTACATGTGAGAGGATCAGAATACATTCCACTTCTGGGATCCAATGACCCAAGTACGTTTGTATTGCCGGTGCCTGATGATGAGGAATTATAAGGTAGTTTACGCTTCAGTGTCTCCTTTTCACTAGAAATTAGAAACATATATGTAATGAATGGAAGCGTAGGTGTATAGAAATACTCACTGGGATTTATTTTTAACTGCAGTTGGACTTGTCTAAAGGGAGAGTTTCTTGTTCCTGCTCCGAGGACTGAAGCATTGGGGTGAAAACCCTGTTCAAGTGCATCTGACAGTTTCTGTTGGTTATTCGGTATCTTTTAGCAGCAAAGATCTTGCACTGTTTTTTTTTTTCGGCAATGGTTGATGTACGGTCTTGTTGGAATTTTCCAACTCAATGGCAAAGTACTGCTCTCCTGAGAATAACTGAAATGAAAAGGGTATATTTACCTTCTACTATTAATGATTATTGAAAAGAACCTTGTACTATTTCCTGAAATATATCTGTTTTCATAGTTTCAAATTAAATGAAATTAGTTCTTTTGTATTTCAATTGAAATAAATTAGTTAAAATTTTAGATATGATTTAATTATGTGTCATTGTCATGCCATCTTTTTTGTACCTTTACTAATTATTGAAATGAACACATGTATAAAAAAGAAGGGTTTGTCTCCTTTATATTTTGAAGGGTAAAAGTCAAAATTTATTAGTTAAGATATTTTTAATTAATTTTATATAAATTTTTATATTGAATTCATAATTTTTTTTTA